TATTCTGTTGTTGCTGCCCAGCTTTGTGACCCTGAGCAAGTTACCATCCCTGTCTGGTCTCCATTTGTTCACCTATAAAATGGGGCTGTTCAGTATCTACCCCCACGGGATTGTGTGAGCATTAAAGGAGACTATCCCCACGAAATGTTTTAGACAGCGCCAGGCCCTGAAGAAACCAAATCATCTTCTGCCCTAGGCCAAGGCTGCCAATGAACAGAAGGAAGACAAGCAATTAAAACTTTCCTGAGCTGTGCTGAGTGCTTCCACTCAGAGAGGCGTGTCTGGCCTCTGGGCTACTTGGGCACAGGGGCCAGGAGCTGGGATTAAGGGAGATTCAACCTCATGGAGAGGTCAGGGAAGACTTCCCGGAGGAGGTGACCTGAGTCTTAGAGGAAAAGTAGCCATTAGCTAGGCTAATGGTGACATAGGAAAGCATTTCAGGCCCCAGCTGACTTGGCTCAGTGGATTGAGCATCAGCCTGCAGACTGAAGGGTCCCGGGTTCGATTCTAGCCAAGGGCATAGGCCCGGGTTGCGAGCTCGATCCCTAGTAGGGGACATGCAGGAGGCAGCCGATCGATGATTCTCTCTCATCATTGATGTTTCTATCTCTCTCTCCCTCTCCTTTCCTCTCTGAAAGCAATAAAAATATATTTTAAAATAGAAAGAAAAGAAAAGCATTTCAGGCAGAGGAAAGAGCAAGTGCAAGGCATGAAGGCAGGAGAGAACATGGGGACTGAGCAGCCGTCCCTGCAGGATGCAGGAGACACTTGGGCCAGGCGGAGCTGGGGCAGCTGGGAAGTTGGCAGATGATTGGGTCTCACCTGCAGGTGTGGACGGGGCCCCTCTGGCTGCCAGGAGAAAGGCTAGAAAGGAGAGCGGGAGGAGGGGGTGCTCAGCCCCACAGAAGAGACGGGCTGGGCCAGGGGGCTGCCTGGATGGGAGTCCGAGTGGACTGGAGGTGTGAGGGCAGAGGTATCCAGGAAGCTGGCACTGGCCCGGGCACATGGAGCTCCGGGAGGCAGGGCAGGCAACTGAGGTTCAGGCATGGCATGTGGTCTGGCCAAGGTCACCAGCAGCAAGAGATAGAGGTCGGCCGGGCAGCCTGCCGCCGCCCCTTCCCCGCCCCTCCCCTCGGCTTTGCCCCAGAGGCTGGTGGCCGGCTGTTGCCTGGCTGCACGAGGCTGCTCTTGCTGGAGGGAGGAGGGTCAAGGGTCAGCCTCGAGTCTTCTGAGCTACCCCACCCCAGCTCTGGTCTCTCTCCCCACAGCTGAGACAATGTTCAAAACAACAAAAGAG